AGCAAAAACGCTGTGAAGGTTTAAAAAAAGTCGAACCTTCACAGCAAAAACACTGTGAAGGTTTTAAAAAGTTACCTTCACAGCATTTTGCTGTGAAGTTTCAAGTGTAAAATGCTGGTCTCAAGGGTCTCACAAAAACAGGCTGCTCTCACATGATCTCAAGTATATATATATATATATATATATATATATATATATATATATTTGTTAAAAAATAAGAAAAAGTAAAAAATACAAAAAAGATCAAATCCACGTGAATACCCCAATACCCTTCCTCTAACATATAAAACAAACGGAGTTAGTGATAACGAGGGACCACTTTCAGAACAAAATAAAAACAATAAGAATGCTTTCTAGGCTTATCAAAATTTAGGTGTCACTTACAGATTTTTCACCAAACCTCAGGAACCAAAATTAAAGTTTACAAAAAAAAAAATCTCATAGTAATACTTTTTAGGAGTTCTCCAAATTTGAAGAATTCAGACGTTCACTCTTACTTTGTCTATTTTGTAGAATATGATGAAAATCGTGTTTGCTCAACATCCAACATATTCTTTGTTTTCGAGATTTCAACATTAACTATATTATTAAAATATTTCATAAACATATGATTTAATATACCATTAAATTTTTTTATATAAAATAATATGACATACAATCTCATTGAGGGGAAATTTATAAAAGACATTTCTCTATACTTACATTAATTTTAGAGGGTTTTATATTATATGCCTTCTTCTTTTCTATTGTATAAAGTATTTAAAGAATTTGCTGGAACTATCAATAAATTAATTTTTTATTTTAAAAAATCTGTTGTAAACGTTGTTATATTTTTTTGTTCTTATGTTTTATTGTATGTTTATTTTAAATGTTGATTTGAGTATAAATAACATACTTGCAATTCTATTATTGTATTATTAATTCAATATTAGAAAATTGGGCATTAATGATGGCCTTAATCTCTTGCTAATTAGTGGTGGATTAGGTCGTTAATCCATCGTTAATTAGCGAGGAATTAGTGACGGGCTTATTTACTTTTCTTGTTTTCTCAATTGTTTTGTGTTATGTGGACATATGTGTATGTGTTATATGTTTGTATATATGATGTGTATGTGTGTTAGTTTGCTAACCGTGATTGGATCTATGTATACATTGTTGTATATATGTGTATATGTATATATGCATGTGTATATGTGAATGTGTATATAATTTATATATTAGTTTGGTCACTGCATATGATGTATATATTTGTTATATATATGCATGTGTATATGTGAATGTATAGATAATAATGTATGTGTTGTTTGGTAACTGCATACAAATAGGTAATAAGTTACCATTGGAGTTATTGGGCCTTAATAAGTCATAAACGTTCTTATTGAGCTATAATATATCTTAGTATAGTGGGTCTTAGTGATCTTATTGAACCTAATAGACATCACATACATATATAATATATCTTAATGGACTGTAATGAATCAATTGGGCTTTAATGATTTTTAATGGGGCTTTATTCGGTCTTATTGGGCTTTAATGAGTTATATTGGGTTTTAATGAGTTATATTAAGCTTTAATGGATCTTAGTGGAGTGTAATTGATCTATTAGGTTTTATTGGGTTTTTTAAAAGGTTTCATTGGACTTTATTCAGTTTTATAGGGCTTTACGAATTATATTGGACTTTAATGGATGGTAATGGACTTTAATAGATTAATTGAGTTTTAGTCCGTTCTATTCGGTTTTATTAGGCTTTAATGGTCATATTAGGCTTCAATGAATCTTAGTAGCTATAATGGATCCATTGAGTTTTATTCGGATTTACTGGATTTTAAACGATTCTATTGGGATTTATTCGGTTATATATTGGTGTTTAATAGGTTATAGCGGTTAATTTTAGTTTTTCAATAATTAAAAATTACTTATTCTTTATAATTAAATATTATTTATTATTTTAATAATTATATTTAATTTTTTAAGAAATTAATAAACAATAAAATATTTAATAATATTTGTTTTGTAATAAATGAGAAATTATAAATACAAAAAATGAAATTAAGAGTATAATTAAAGAAGAAACGGACAAATATTTAAATATATTTGTTTTGTAATAAATGAGAAATTATAAATACAAAAAATGAAATTAAGAGTATAATTAAAGAAGAAACGGACAGAGAAGCATAGTTTTTGTTTTGTTTTCAACCATTAAAGAAAATTTAATTTGTTTAGCGTAAGGTTTCTCCAAGATTCACACAACCCCAAACACCCCTTCACCCAAACAACTGTGCTTCTATCCCTACCTCCACCCCCCCCACCATCACTTTTTTCCAAATCTCACCACTCCCTTCTCTCTCTCCTTTCTTTCCGAAGCAGGAACAACGAAAAAAGCTTCTGAATCTTGAATTCCATCACTGTACTATTGCTGTTACTCTGTGTCGTAAAGTTCGACAACTGGGGGAAATTTCAAGTAACCCATTCGCGGATTTCAAGTCGTCATGGTGGTTCTTCATCTTTGTGTTGCAGGGGGGTTGATTTCTTGGCAAAAAATTTGGGGCTTCTTGATCGTTTCTTTGGGTTAAATCGACAATGTGAGGTGAGTTACTTGAAGATTTCATCTGGGGTTTTCTTATTTTGTGATTTTCTTGATGATGGTGGCTGCCATTTCTGAAACAACAAACCAAACAAGACCTCCGTTGTTGCCTTCCGAGAAAGATAATGGAATTAATAAACCAACAAGACCTAAATCAAGACAAGTTTCTTCAAGATACTTGTCTCCTTCGCCTTCACCTTCAACTTCTTCGAATTCGTCGTCTTTACCCACACCCACACCTTCCAGAAGGTTCCCATCTCCTCTCGTTTCGAGAAATTCGACTACTCCGGCGGCTAAACGGTCCGTTTCTGCCGACCGGCGGCGATCCACCAGGCCGGATCTTAACTTGAAATCTAACAATGCCGGCGGTGGCGAGGTGTCGGCGGCCACTAAGCTTTTGGTAACATCTACGAGAAGTTTGTCTGTTTCTTTTCAAGGTGAGGCCTTTTCGTTGCCGATTAGCAAGACTAAAGCCACACCACCATCGCCTAATTCTTACAGTGTGAGAAAGGGTACCCCTGAGAGAAAAAGAACTGGTACCCCTTTGAGAGGGAAGGTTGAAGGTGGAGGTGGAGATCATGCCGAGAATACGAAACCCTCCGATCAGTATCGATGGCCTGGCCGGACTCGACAATCGAATCAAACTATTTTGTCGAAAAGTTTGAGTTTAGATTGTGGGGTTGAGAAGAACAACATAATTGGATCTGGGAATGTGATTAGAGCTTTACATCAGTCTATGAACTTGGAGGGCAGAAGGGCATCAGTTGATGGTAGATTGAGTCTTGATTTGGGTAATTCTGCTGAGCTTTTGAAGCCAATTCAACACAACCCACATGGGAATTCGATTAATGATTCATCTATGGTTCCCTCTGATCTCACTGCTTCTGATACAGATAGTGTTTCTTCAGGCAGCACATCTGGAGTCCAAGAAACCTTTGGGTTAACCCGTGGTTCAGGTGTTGGAGGTCGTGGGATGGTTGTGTCCGCCAAATTCTGGCAAGAAACGAACAGTAGGATGAGGAGGTTGCAGGATCCTGGTCCACCATTCTTGACTAGCCCTGGATCAAAACCCCCAACGAAATTGGCTCTTGCCAAGAAATTCTCGAGTGATAGTCCACTATCGTCACCAAGAACCATGGCTTCCCCGAATAGAATGAGACCAGCATCGCCAAGTAAGTTTATGACATCCCCATCAAGGGGAATAATTAGTCCTCGAAGGAATTCTATTTCTGGAACCATTAGTACTAATTTTAGTGAGACACCATCGGTACTTAGTTTTGCTGTTGATGTTCGAAGAGGGAAAGTGGGTGAGAATCGTATTGTTGATGCACACATGTTGAGGCTTTCATATAATAGGCAATTGCAGTGGCGGTTTGTTAACGCTAGGACTGAAGATACGTTGTTGAAGCAGAGACATAGTTCAGAGGTATGATCGCTAAGTATTTATGTTTAAAATTGCTTTAAAACGTTCATTTCTCCGTGTTTCTATGGACATAGCATTACTTATCATGTTGGTTAGTCATAAAATGGTAGCATTTGAAGAAGTGTTGAAAGATTTTTTCTCTATGTAGATGAAAAGCTAACAAGAAAAGTCTGACATCAACTACTAGAATCAAGTTCAAATTAGTTTATTCTCAACATTTCACACAACCATGGGCTATATTGGGTGCTTTTGGTATGCGGACTAAACGAGATTGAACTCGACGGGCGAGAGTGAGGCAGGTGGGTGAGAGAATTGTGGAAGGTTGTATGGTTTTAATTTGACATGGGTAGTTTAGTAATTTACCTATTTTGTCCTCTCCCACTCTAATGTCGTTCCTTGCATGGGACAACATATTTTGTTCTGTCCTGTCCCATTCTGTCCCACATACCAAACGCATTTCAGTATGCACCCTTAAGGACCCGCTGCTAATTGACTTGGAACTCGTAAGTTTTGAGTTGGACGGCCATAGCTTCAACAATTTGAAGTCTAGTCTTGATCAAGTGTTAGTTCTAGAGTGAGGGAAAACGTTTTTAGCTCTGATTTCCTGCTGGAGATCATATTTGTGGATTTAGAGTGGGCGAAAACGTGTTTTGCCCAACCACATGCGTGATGGGACCATATTTGGAAAAGGATCTTAGAGAAGAATCATAGTGTATAGGTTTTGGGCCACGAGGGTCTCTTTTTTAACACTTCCATTTTTGTGGACATTGGAGTTCTTTCGCTGACTTGTCAGTTTAATGGCTAACTCGCTAAGACTTCATCTACCTCGTGGCCAGGTCTATATTTGTTGCAATGATGGTTGTATCTTTTCCAGCGGTGGCCTAATTTTGATGTAGAAAAAATGAGAAAGGCATTACGGATCTTATTTCCCTCTTTAAAAATTAGCGCCTTTGTTTTGGAAAAAGTTACTGTACGTCCCACATTTACTCTGTGTTCTCTAATCTGGAGAGAAATCAAAAAGAAAAGAAAGGAGAAATATTTTTTTTTTCATTTTTTTATTAACCTGGATATCCAACCCGCTATGCGAGCCGACTAATCCTAGGGCGACCACCTGCTTTGCAGATAGCCCGGAGTCACCGCATTTGAACCTCTGTGGCCACAAGGGGATTTTTATTCCTCCTTGGATTTGAAACCTCCAGGTACTTTTGACCTTTGGAGCCAAGCTCAAACCAACCAGGCACCACCCTTGTGGTTTATTTTTTTCATTTGTGTTCTTCAAAGGGAAGGAAAAGAAAAAAAATAATTTTTTATGTTCTTCAACAGGAGAGAAAGGAAAGGAAATATGTCATTTTTACAAATATATCCTTTAAAAGTATATCCTTTATAATGAAAGGTTGGGTAATTTTTTAATTTTAATAAGCTTTTTAAATGATTTTAATTTCTTTCCTTTCCTTCCCACATTTGGAAGGAAATTTATCATTATTTTCCTTCCGTTTCCTTCCTTTTATCTCCTAAAAAATGTTTTGAGAACACGAGTTTTTTACTTTCCTCCCCTTTCCCTCTCTTTCCTTTCCTTTCCTGTGTAAACAGGGTTTTGAGAACACAGCATTAGAGGCTTGACATGCTACTTTTGTACTCTCTACACTCATAGGGGGTTGGCTTTGGGACGATTTTTGGTTGGTCGATCCGTTAATCAATTTAATACCTAGCAAGGAGGTGCCAACAATTACAAACTAGATGATGCTAACGTTATAGGAATGTGGAAACACATCCACACCTTGCCCGAAAGTTTGGTTGTCTTTGGCTGTCCACAAAGAAAGAGCCGGGATTCCATGCCATGGTATCTTGTTTTCTGGAAAAAGAAAAACAACAAAGACAACACAAAACAACTAAAAGAGACCCATATTGTGGCGGGCACCTTCTTATTGCTCAGTTGTAAACATGTGAGGCAGAATTGGAGGGGTGAGCTTATTGAGAGGGCCACATAGCCTGCAACCACAATCTTAACAGAAAAACTATCAAGAGAATGCTACCAACTCGAATTCCAAGAAGGTTTTCAAGTCTAGTAACTTTATCAATATGGAGTTTTGACCACTTAATCATGCGCTATCTACCAAGCAACCATTTTTCATTATGCATTAAATTATACCGAACCTCTTAAATCATTCTGACCACTTAATCATTCAGTATACACCAAACAGCCCCTTTGCATCTTCAATAAGCAAGTAAAGTGGTAAGACTGCAAGTTTTATTAATGAAAAGAAGCTAACCCATGTCAATATCTGAAATCAGACAACTCTAGTTTGGAATTAGTGATGAGGGTAGAATGATCTGCCATTTGAAATTGCATGATGCTGAGCTTTAATGGTACAATTAACCATCATCTCATATTTTGGTTCTTGAAGCTGATAACTGCACAAGATGTAATATTCTTTAGGTGCATTAAGTATATGAACTAGGAAGCTAAATGTTTGCTTTGTGTTCAGAAAAATCTCTGGAATGCATGGATTACAATCTCTGATTTACGTGACTCAGTCACCAAGAAAAGACACAGGTTGCAGTTGCTGAGGCAAAAACTGAAGTTAGCCTCCATTCTCAAGGAACAAGTAAGTTTTTTTGTGGATTTAAACGGAAAACATCTGGTTTTATTAGTTATCTGTACCTGAAGCCTGATTATTGGCAAACATAGATGGCTTTTCTGGAACATTGGGCTTCTTTAGATAAAGATCATTCTGTGTCATTGCTCGGAGCTATTGAAGCTTTAAAGGCTAGCACTCTTCGTCTTCCAGTTGGTGGAGCAATGGTACGTGCCTTCCTCTTCTCATTTCCAAACTTGTTGGATATTTCTCAAATGCTCAAAGTTTACATCGTTCTTGATTCAGGCTGATCTCCAAAGTATGAAAGATGTTATAAGTTCAGCACTTGATGTGATGCAGTCCATGTGTTTGTCAATATGCTCACTCTGTGTTAAGGTAATTTCACTTCTTATTTTGCCAAAATGTCACCTTCTAGCGTCTTCAATTAGCTTACACCCCCGACACAATCACAAAATTTCAGGTGGAGGAAGTTAATTCAATGGTGGCCGAGCTTGCAAATGTGTGTGCAAAAGAGCAAGCTTTGCTTAGGATTTGCAAAGGGTTATTGTCAATGTTAGCAGCCCTGAAGGTAATCCTCTGAACCATCTTTACCATTTAACCATTATCTTTTTTACATTGGACGCCTTGTTCTGAAATGTTTGTTTAACAGGTGAAGGATTGTAGTTTGAGAACTCATATGTTACAAACCAAGTGTGTGAAAAAACCACATGTGTAGAACTGATCAACTTAGTCGCGGCCCTTATTCAAGAAACGCTAACATTACACCACCAAGTGAAGGATGGACTTTCCGGAGGTAATAAAGTAGCTGACTTTTTGGCTTGTGGCTGGGTTTCTGTTTTTTTTTTTTTTTTGTATGGGGAATTTGTCGTGTATTTTTTTTCTTGTTGCAAGGAAAGAATGTAGTAGTGTCTCTAACTAGTCTAGTTTTTTACTCTGTATGTAAATATATAGGGTATGTAATTCAACTTGTTTAATTCTCTTGTAATTTGGTAAAGTTTGGACATTGAGCTTTGATCATGAAGCCTTTAGTGCTTGTTGGGTTGTACTTTGCTGCTATTGAATGGTACCATTTTTGAAACTAGTACCATTGCATCATCTTCAATTCTTGGATGATTGATTGAAATTATGGCGGTCATGATGCACCAAGTGTTGTACACAAAGGATCACAGGTTGATTTTAAGCGAATTTTGATTTCAGTTGGATTCATAAATTTCTAGGGTTCTTTCCCCATATGCCTAACTTGATTACATAATTTGATAGTAAACCCAGTAGTACCTACCTTAGACCGACCGACCAACCCCCAAAAGACTACACTTGTTTTTTCCTGTATTTAGATACTACATACATGCTTCAATTCTCCTTTTTGCTCGAAAGTATAAAGATGCCCAAAAGATGTTTGATGGTATGCTTATAAGAGAGGAACTTCAAGACACCGAGTGCCTCCCTTTTCGTGAAGGGGTTGATTTAGCTTCATCAGGATTAGCAGAACCAAGACTCTCCGATGAATCCGACCCACTGTTCTCTCTGATCCCACTTTTGGTCGACCAAATCTTTGAGAATATTTTCTTGGTGGAAAGCAGCCCTTTTACTCTAGGAACCGAAGCTTTCTCCGATACAGTGCTTTTAGGGCCATGGTGTCGTGTTCTCAAGGCCGCCAGCTCCTCCTTCAAAGCTTTGAGCTCCTCAGCCGTGGCAACACCATCCCAATCATCTTCTGGGTTTGTTGCAGGTTTGCCATTGGAGACATTCAGAGCTTTCATTGCTTTTGGAAGATCAGGAGTGCTGCTGCCAGAAGATGCAGCAGCTCGTGCTTGCTCGAAGAAAAGAACTTGCACCACAACACGCAACGGAAGCCGCTCATTTTGAACGGCATGCATACATGCATCCACGGACAGCTTCTTGCAGTCCATCAGCCTGCAAATTCTCTTCCTTTCACTCTTACTGATCCCAGGGTGTGCCTGCATCAAGATCACAAAAATGTAAGCAAAATGGTTACCATTTCATACTAAATTTACTGCATTTAGCAACTTATTTTACCTTAAGATACACATCAATGGCTCGATATATCCCATCGTGTGCAGGTCTAGAGACTCCAGACACCATCTCTGCAAGATCTACAAACATCCCTAATGGCAGATTCGGATCTTTTGAGATTTCAGCAAGGTAAGCATCAACTAGTTTAGCAACCATCAATTTTGAAGCTTCTGATAAAATCCCTCCTCCTGTTGTTCTTCCTGTTTCTTGAATCTCATGTTCTTCATCTTCAAATTCACCATTTTCACCTTGAACTACGAACTCCTTCACTATTTCCCGAACCATATTCACATCATAAATCATGCATCCTGGCTCGCCTTCTTTGGCTTGAATCAGAAGATCTTGCACAGATGCCTCCTCCAGTTGTTGACCGATCCTTTTAACCAACTCCCTTTTCGCCGTTTCTCCTGAATCCACCAAGATCGCCATTTTCAGCAGTTTTAACAAGAACCCACATGAAACATTGCCTTTTTCTGATGGCAATAGCCAGGCAATGATGTCTACTACCGATCTCGCTTTCAAGATGTCACCACTGTGTACAATACCCTTGTTAAACCCTGGCAATCTTCGTAAAGCGAAAGCTTTCAATGCCTCCCCAATTACCTCATTACATACCAACCCTTTATTCTTAATACTCACAAGAACCTGTTTGTATAAACCTATTTCAAGCTCAGCCAAGTCCTCAACCCACCAATCTTTTGGAACCATTCGACTTCTAATCCCGCCATTTAAGGTCTGCTCGTTCGCGGTTTCTTCAGGCAGTTTTTTACGGTTGTAAGTATAGGACCAGTCAACCTTGGAGACGTCCACCGAGGCCTTGGAAGCTATGGAGTTGATGCAGAGGTTGACTAGCTTTGGTTCCTGAGACAAAGCCGTCATATTTTTGGTCGTTTGAAGTACAATGATTGAATCTTTCCAGCTTCGGAAAATACTCGAGTTGAGGAAAACACTGATCTTGTAAACGAGATTTCCTTTGTCGATTGTCTCGTACATCTCGAGGTAATCAGCAGCACAATATGTTGAGACAACGTTGTAAGCGTTTAAGGTTACCGTCATACCATAACAGAACTTGGCGCATATCTCGAATGCAGAAGAACCACCTGGGATTTCGTGCATGTCGACTTCGTTCCCATCCCCTTCGGTTATGCTTCCAACCAACTTCTGTAAGCGACCACTCTTCGACAAAAGAGGGAACTGCAATATTGAATCTTTGTTACAAAAACTCAAAAATAAACACATAATTACAATCTTTCTACAAATAAATCGAATGTAAGACGGCCTTTTTCTTGATTGTTTCATGTTATAGGCTCTTTTTTGTGTTTATTTTCTGTAGATCAGCATACCTTGTGCAGATAGAACTTCGAATCGCCAACGTTGACGATGACATCAGTCGCCAACTCAGAATTCACATACCTGCAGAGCATAACAATCCAAATTCATATCGATGATTGTTAGTTTAGATGATCCATAAGACAATCATTCTCTTGATTCTTGCTCCTTTTTAGAGATTCATACTTCAAAATCTGATGTTTTTAGTGACCCCAATCCCTATTTCTTGAATACCCAATAATCAACTCATTTTAATAGTTCCAAAACAGTAAAAGTTGGATCTTCAAAGGAAAAGGGTCATATGCAATATTGGTGAACAGTAACAAGAGTTAAAAAACTGTTAATCATCAATCCCATTGAAGAATTTACAATATGAACCAGATAAATGGAGATACAAGCAATAATGAAATGCATTTGCTTGCAATGGAATGAAAACTTACCAGATATTGTTGCTATCTGTCTGAAATGAATCAGGCTTGGATCCAAGTTTCATGAACTTCATCTTCAACAGGTTCTACAATCACAGCTAGCAGCTTTCCACTCAAATTTAATCAACTTGAAGAGACACTACATCCCAAAACTCACAAGAACCCTAAATTTGAAAACAAAACACCAACTTTTAGCTTGTGGGTGTGTGTTTCTTGATGAATATATTTGTGGGTTTTTTCTTCCACAGAGAAAGAAGAAACAAGATCTCAGAAATGGGTATGAATATATATTAAAGAGAATCTTGACACCAGTGTGTGTGAAGTGTGTGAGAGAGAGAAAGTTTTAGAGAGAGAAAGAGAGAAGGGGAAATGTGGGTTTTTAATTTGTTGATAACTTGAAGATGAAGGTGAGGAAGAGAGACGATGTGTCCTGGTTCAGCGGCAAAGCCCACGGAGCCCGGGGCAACCCGGTCAGCGCAGGAGACATGCCCAACAGTAACACGCACTCCTCCACACTAATTTATTCTTTCTCTCTCTAAACTACAGTAGAGAGAGAATTAAAGACACCCCACAAGCACAAATCTGACTCCATCTGTTTTAATTCTACAACTCCATATAAATAAAATAGAATATAATCTTGCAAGTTTCAATTTCAGATTAAACAAATCAAAATTTCCAACTGAAGATGGGGAAAACCTGCAAAAATGAGAAGAATGGCATCTTGGTATCAGTTGAGATAACCTACCACATTGTAGACAAACAGCATCTTTTCCTCTGTTTTGGGTCAAAAATGACATAAAATCAAGAGAGATCATTAACAGCAAACTCAATGAAAACCATATGAAATCTTTGAAATGATGATGCTTAGTAAACAGAATCAAAGGCAAAATCTTTCATGTAACCCACTTGAAATCAAGAATCATGACACAAAACCCACAAGCCACTCTTCTTGTAAACGTGGACAAAACCCAAGATTTTTTACCTTTTTTTGGTTGCATCAACTTGTAGGCACAAAACCCACTTCAATATGGTATTAACACAGAATCTTCACATATAGTAGTTATATATGTATATATATATATATATATATAAACACACACACAGAAACACAGGTAAAAAGGGTAAAATGCCAAAAACTGATTAAAAGAAAGGGTTTTGCAGAAACTGAGCAGCCCACATGCACAGATTTTAAGTTAACAAAAATGGACCCATCATGAAATAAAACCATTGAACACAGGAAACAACAAAAAGATGCAAAAGAGACAACATCCTCCACCCCCCAATGAAAAGACACAAACACCCATTGGAAGAAGACAACGTCTGCTCAACAACACAAATCCAATTTTACACCAAAACCTAACTTCCCTTTCTGTTTCATTGTTTGCCCAATTTCGTAAATTCCCCCCCTCATCTGTAAATATCTTTCTTGAAAATATTTCCCTTTTTCTACAGTTCTTCCTTTCTAATCTGAAATCTTCCTTCCATCAGAATGGGTTTTTTATGTATATATATATATATATATATATGTGTGTGTGTGTGTGTGTGTGTATATATATGTGTGTGTATAAAGAAATGGAAGGTTGAAGCTTTATTTTACCTTGGAGATCATCCATGGATGAATTATGGTGTTGCAGAGATCGAGGCGATGGGAAATGTATGTAGTAATTGAGATGAAGAAGGTTGCACGCTAGTGCTGACAGACAGCTTTTCTGCTCATTCTTTAAGGTTTAAAACTTCTTCAAGATCATAACCTGTAAAACCAAAGCAATGGTAATAGATCGTAAGCATATAAAATGTACCCTTGTGGTAAAACCTTACTTATATCTTTAAAGTTACTCCTTTTTTTTATTAAAAAGTTAAAATTTAATATTAAATGAAGAAAATATGAATGTGTTTTATTCTTTTAAGTTGTTGAGAAATGTTTCGTTATATTTTATCTGGTAATAAATGCTTTCATCGTATAAAATTTGAAGACGTATTCATGTCTGTGTACGTTTTGATCGAGATGAAATACAATGTACTGGTTTAGTTTGATTTGGTTTATTGTATTAGATTTGAAAACGTTAAAAATTCTAGTTTTCATTCTGTATTTAATAAAAAATTTATCTGATATACCTTTTCTGCTTTGTTTGTGTTTCGATTTCGTGGTTTTGCTCTTTATATTTCGTAGTCCTTTTTGTTTGTCGGGTGTTTTGGTTTTGCGCCTTATAGATCCTTCGGACTTTCTGTTGTTTCCTATTTGTTATTTTTAATATATTTGCTTGTTTTTTTAAAAAAAAAAAATTAATAGAAATTAAACATATTGTCATACAACCTTTCTTTACATTGAAGGGTTTATATATTCACAAATAATTAAATATATTTATTAAATTATGTATATAATTATTATAAAATAGATGAACAGTTATGAAAAATTACAATGATGGAAGGAGGGATAATGCCGACACCTTTTTTTTAACTACAAATTTTGTGATTATCTTTGTACTTATATTGTATTAAAATATAGGATTGAGTTTCGATGAAAAAAAAAATTTAAAATAAGAAGCGTAAGAATTGATCGTCGCCCTTAGATGCATAGATTAAAGGTGATTAAGAGTTTAGATCTTTTCTAACTTCACTATTATATATACATGTGTGTGTAAGAGTTGGTTCAAATGTTGACCAAGTTTATTATGTTAACTTTATTAACCAATCTTGGTAATTGATTCTTACAATAAACGGTTGTGATTTATCATATTAAATTTTTTTTTTACAATTTCACAAATTCTTTTTAATGTAACTCCCATATCATTAATCGGGAGTTACAAAATCAAAAAATATCATGATTTTTGTTAATTTATTTTTGTTGATATAAGAATCATATGAACACATCTATATATATATGAATCATAGTTTCAAATACGAACAAAAATTGACATATATATGAACTTCGACTGCATAACATTTATGAACACAATATGAACATAATAAGAATAGTTGCTACAGGGAAAAAAACAGGTATGAACACAATATGAACAGTTTGTGAGCAATAGTTTCTTCATTATGAACACATTCAGGAGCGAGCCAATATTGAGATATGTAGCTAGTGTACATATAAACACTTGTGAACAATAGTTTATTCATTATGAACACATTCAGAAGCGAACCATGTTGAGATATGCAGCTAATGTACATATGAGCACAATATGAACAGTTTGTGAACAATAACTTCTTCATTATGAACACATTCAGAAGCGAGTCAATGTTGAAATATGCAACTATTGTACATAGGAACACAATATGAACACTTGTGAACACTAGTTTCTCTATTATGAACAATGTGTTTATCCATAATAGCTTGAACAATACCAAAAACTTTACTACCAGATCTCCTCTACCAATCACAAATTCAAAAATATTATAGATAGAAAAATCAATATTATAAAAAAAAACAAGATCAATACTAAATTTACAAAAATCATGAGATTTTTTGATTTTGTAATTCCCAATTAATGATATGGGAGTTACATAAAAAAAATTATGTATTTATCCTTGTCATTAAATTATAAGATGAATATAAACTTATATATAWGATGGATTGTCATTGGTTGAAAATAGTTAGCAAAGTTAACACAATAGACTTTTTGTTAACATTCGAACCAGTCTCTCTCTCTCTCTCTCTCTCTCTCTATATATATATATATATATTATAAGATGAATATAAACTTATATATATGATGGATTGTCATTGGTTGAAAATAGTTAGCAAAGTTAACACAATAGACTTTTTGTTAACATTCGAACCAGTCTCTCTCTCTCTCTCTCTATATATATATATATAATATATATATATATATAGGCTGGTTCAAATGTTAACCAAGTTTAATATGTTAACTTTGTTAACCAATCTTGGTAATTGATCTTTGAAATTTGTGGCTAAGATCATTAATGATATAAATTGTAATGAATTGCACACATAGATAAGGTAACATAAGTGAACAATATTTACAAGGGGTATTTTGGGAAAAGATTTTAGTTATCCATTATGACAATGAGATGTTTTGTAACCGTTCATTAATGACAATTAAATGTTTTGTAATTGTCCATTAATAACAATGTAACTATCCGGGAATTAATATCGTTATTGAATCAAAACCAACTGCAAAATCCTCGACACCAGATTCTTCTACAGTTTTTTTTTGTTAATGGTTCATATGTGAACAACTATTCGATATTTATGGGAATTGTTCATGTGTGAATAGGGTTGTATATGAAGGAAAAAAAAAGTCGTTGACACAAATGGGCATATATGTCAATCTGTGTTTGTATTTGACACAAGGGTTTATATATGTCAATTTGTGTTCGTAATTGACACAAGGGTTCATATATGTCGAGTTGTGTTCATATGGTTGTATGAATGTTCATATATGTAAATTTGTGTTCATATGATCACACGTGTTTATCATCTTTTGTATGTTTATTTGTGTCAATATGTGTTTATATTTATACGAACTATACATATATGTCAATCTGTGTTTGTAATTTTCACAAGGGTTCATATATGTCAATTTTGTGTTCGTAATTGACACAAGGGTTCATATATGTCGAGTTGTATTCATATGGTTGTACAAATGTCCATATATGTGAATTTGTGTTCATATGATTACACATGTTCACTATCTTTCGTTTGTTCATTTTGGGTCAATGTGTTCATATTTATACCAACTGTACATATAGGTCAATCTATTTTCGTAATTAGCACAAGTGTTCATATATGTCAATTTATGTTCGTAATTGACACAATGGTTCTTATATGTCGAGTTGTGTTTATATGGTTATATATTCATATGTGAATTTGTGTTCATATGGTCACACATGTTCATCATCTTTCGTATATGTCAATTTAAACGATACCGAAAACTTTACTATCGGGTCTCTTCCACCAATCACAAATTCATAAACATTAGAGATAAAAAATCAATATCAAAAATAATAACAAGACTAATAATAAGTTAACACAAATCATAGGATTTTACGGTTTTGTAACTTTCAATTAATGATATAAGAGTTATATAAAAAAGAAAATTACATATGTACCCTTGTCATTAAATTCTAAGATGGATAGAAACCTAATACTAAGATAGATTGTGATTGTGTGTATGCATATGCGTTAGATAGAAG